ATGTTTTTTTCATGCCTTGTAAGGGTGTCTCAACTTAATCTATTAATAATTCAAGTGGAAAATCTTGACTTTGTGATGAGCTAAATAGTTAGTGATAATTTGTTTTTGTTGGAAATAAGAGGTATTAAGTTCAAATCACACGATGTATAAGTAAGATGAGAAGAAATATGAAAGAATTATTTTTTGTTGTGTAAATAATATAAAAAAAATCTTGGCTTCATTTAAACTTTAAGACGAAAAGGAAGGAATTAAAAAAATGAGATAGATGTATTATACCATGTATAACTTAAGAAAAAAAATCATTGTATTTTTTAAATTAAATTATATGTTAAAAATACAGTTTAATATATGGTAACCGTAAAAAAATCTATTATATTTTATTTATAGCAGTTGATATATTATGTTGATCTAATAAAACATTATTTTTCTTCAATTTTCCTCTTTTTCACTTTAATTTTTTTGTTTATTAAGATGCGGTTGTAGTTTCAAATTTTTAGTTTTAGTTTCTAAATTTTAAATATTTAAAATGAACATTAAAAATAACAAAAATATGGATGGCAGGAATTGATTCTCTATATGTGAAAACTGAAACAATATTTTTATTATATAAAGGAAATATTTTAAAAAATTATTTTTTTTGGTGTAATCAATATAAAAAAAATTATTTACTTCATTTAAACTTTAAGACGAAAAGAGAGGAATTAAAAAAAAGAGAGCGATAGATTATCCCATGTGTAACTTAAGAAAAAAATTATTGCATTTTTTAAATTAAATTGTATGTTAAAAATACAGTCTAATGTATGGTAACCGAAAAAAAGTCTATTATATTTTATTTATAGCAGTTGATATATTATGTTGATTTAATAAAATATTATTTTTCTTCAATTTTTCTCTTTTTCAGTTCAGTTTTTTTTGTTTATTAAGATGCGGTTGTAGTTTTGAATTTTTAGTTTTAGTTTTTAAATTTTAAATATTTAAAATGAAAATTGAAAATAAAAATTTTGAACTTGATAAATATAAAATTTTAAAACAAATACCAAAAATTTCAAACTTAATTAATTTATAAAATTATATAATTTTATTA